TACTGAATACAATCGTGTTCTAGTCAGTCACGTAGTTCAACATGGTACCAAAGCAATGTTCATGTCGAAGACGTTGATCTTGAAGTTCTGGAATCCACAGCCAGGTCTGGCGATTGATCCCTTAGCGGACCCACCGCTCAAGTACGTCTTCCTCTTGAGCTTCTGAGCAACCTTAAGATTGGACTTCACAAGAGCGTCGACCCTTTGATTCAACAAGGCAGCCACCCTGTCAGAGTTGCTAGTTGGCTTGTGAGACAGTGCTTCGATAACAGGGACAACAGCTGGTGACTCAGTGAGAGTGGAGCTCTTCTAACACCCCCGACACAAAGTCCAGACGTTGCAACCACCCAAGCACGTGCTCATCTACACAATTCCAGAGCGGTAGAACACACTTGTGTGACTACTTGTGAGAAGCTACAATTTGTAGAGTGAAAGAGGTCATAGACAATAGGTGAGTAAGAGTAACATTGTTCGTCTTGTGGTGCAGTTACCACCTAGTATACTCATGTCAAGTGAGCACTGCTCCTTGAACAAAAGTCCTGTAGAACAGGCAAAGTTAAGACATCAGTCACCATGGCAGATCACGGAAACTATAGTAGCATGACAGTAGGAGAAGCGAGTAAGTTGGTAGGCAGCAAGAACTATTACATATGGCAACTTAAAATGAAAGCCATTCTCAGAAGGGAGAACGTCTGGGATATAACTGAACATCATGTTCAGCCGGCTACATTCCGTGCAATAGTACATGGGAATCACTACATTGAGCAACCAATGAGAAAATCAAAAAAATCTAGCATTATCAGGAATACAGTTGTCCGTAGGAGACAACTTACTTTGCTTTGTCTCCACATTTACAGATCCCGCATTAGCATGGAAAGCACTTAGACTCAAATTAGCTTCAAAGATATTCATCTCAAAATAGAGCACCATCAACTAGACTCAGAGATTATTTCTCGACACGTACGTTTGAAATAATAGAACCAACTAGTTTTAGTGAGGCAACAACTAATGAAAAATGGATGGATGATATGGCTCAGGAGATAGATTCAATTATACGGAACAACACATGGGAAATTGTGGATAGCCCTCAGGACAATGTATCCATCATGGCAAAGTGGATCTATAAAATAAAGAAAGAACCAGCATGAGTAATAAAAAAAACTCTAAGCCCAAATGGAAGCCAAAGGATTTTAGCAAATCATCATTTTCCATGTAGTCTATGCCTTTGGATGTTGAGCTTGAGCACTGCCTCTCTGGAATCTGGTTACATCAGAGAGGATATATTAGAAAACTCCTTAATTAGTATGGTTTGAACAATAGTATACCTACAAAACTACCCATGGTTCCTAGATTGCAAATCAAAAAGAAATGGGCACTCAAAAGGTTGACCCTAAATTCTACAGGCCACTTGTAGGGAGCTTAATCTACGTCATTAACACTCGACCAGACATATGCTGTGCTGTTAGCTGTGTGAGTCGTTATATGAGTGATCTAAAACCAGCTCATGCTTGAGCCGCTAAATAACTTCTATAATATCTACTGGGTATTATAGACTTTGGTTTGCACTTTTCAGAAAAAGCAGATGAAACATACTTCACCATTGCTGACGCAGCCTGGGGTAGAGACCTTAACACTCGCAGATCATCTCGTGTAGTTCACAAAATTGGTGACTCTACAGTCCATTGGTCCAGTAAATTACAGGAAGTAGTATCCCTATCTACTACTTAGGAGTATAGAGTCCTATCTGATGTAGCCGCTGGCATCCTACATCTGCAACGACTTCTTACAAAACTCAATATTCCATAGATCAAACCAACAATGTTATACATTGATAATCAAGCATTCATCAGACTCGTAGACAACTCCATCCTGCACAAAAAGACAAAACATATTGATGTACGAGCATATTTTATTAGAGAAAAGGTACAATCCAGGGATGTGAAGGTAGATTATGTATCAACAACTTCACAACAAGCAAAATTCCTAACCAAACCAGTAACTCATATACGCTTCACCTTCAATAGAGAAGAAATAGGTATAAAACCTCTACCCAACTCATGTACATCTACTTGATCCTGAATCTGCTCCTCTGCATAGAAACAACTCAGCCTCTTCACAAGATCTAAAACCCTTGTGTTCAGTCCCTTTGAATCCATTTACTTGGCGCTTACACTCTTCCCACGAAGTGTAAATACCAGGTCTAAATCCCTTTTGAACTGCATACTACCTACTTCTAAAATCTGGAAACTCAATGGATTGCCCTACCTCGTCATCTAAACTCTTACTCAGCAGCCTTGTTGCATCCTTCCCTTCTCCGATCCACGTCTGATATATCCTGTCGAACCCTAATTCATGTGATCCAGCAGCTTGGGTCCTCCGGTTGAAGATCCTACAACCTAATTAGAAGATTCATTATCAGCTCGAACAAGCCGCAAATACACCGTATCAAGCATACCTTTGCAAAAACGCCGACTAGCAGCCACCAACGATCATAACGCCAGCAATACGATATCCAGCTGTGGCCAATTTCAAAACCATTACGGCACTGAAGATAACTGCGAAAATACAATAGCATCCAATAAATTACAAATAGAAAACATAGATATTGTAATACACTCACGGTTGATAGAGACTCCACCTCTGAACGCAAAAGCTCTACAAGCTCAACTGAAAGAATTCCTACTTGCACCATCTCTGGTTGAAAATGAAAACAAGAGAGGGTATTGGCTTAAGTGCTCTCACTTTTATCCTACACTCATCCAATACATTGTTGTTCATCCAGATCCACGCCCAGTGACACTTGTGGATCTTTCTCTGTATATACTCCGGTACCTCTTTGCTTACTTTACTGAATACAATTGTGTTCTAGTCAGTCACGTAGTTCAACAAAAGACACAAGACAATCTCCAAGAGACCCAAAATAAATGACCAGTTCAGTACTATGCACGTCTATCAAGACTAAACAAAGAGTGACCCTGCAATTGAAGCAAATCCTTTCCTTGCTGCACAAAACCTCAAGAATCACCGAGACGCTCATATGCCACATTCAAGAGTGCTTATAGCTTAATAAAAGCATGACGGATTTCATGTAAAACTTAGCGTGCAGTTCAGAATCTGAAATAGAAAATAATAATAATCAATCGAACCTTAACTTTCATGTACACAACAAATTAGTACTGTGCAAATAGGATGGTTGTAGTAAAAACTGATCTGTTTTACACAGAAGCAGTGCAATTATTTCAGAAATCTTATCTAATTTTTCACATTGCACTGTGCAGATTGCTATACAACAAGCTTCTATGCTCTACCATGTTTCGTCCACAAGCCGGAAATGCAACACCCGGTCAGCAACGACGAGAAACAAATGCATGTGGATGCACGCCGAATGTGATCTCGAGAGATAGGAGCAGGAGAATGCCCATCTCCGACAGTGTGCTCACAAAGCACGAGTTGCTGATCAAGTGGGGCGGCGTCCCAACTCATATCTATGCTCATCACCTTCTGCATACGGCTTTTCCACCACTGTGGCTGTTCTTTGTAGCACCAACATGCCCGATCCAAAGTACTCACCTTGGTCTGCAACAATCAACCACTTGAACGTGTTTAGCACCGAGAGGTGCAAGTTGTATTGTGAAAACTCTTGCTCAGTAAATTGCCCGCCCCCAAACCCTTCTGCGGCGTCGTTGCCACCACCTGGCACCCGAAGTGCTTCCACCTGGACCTCCTGTCCGCGATCAGGTACCGAGTTTCGAAGTAAAACTTCACAACGAATTGACCCCGATCACACTGCAGCTCTGCCTCCAGGACTGGCCCCAGCTGTTGCCGCAGCGAGGCTTGCTCCCCCTTCACCCTCACCACAAGTCCCCTCGTCCCACTCGGCGTCAAGGAGAACTCCAGTTGAACCTCTTGTCTCAGAATCAGATCACCCCTGTACCTCACAGCCACAACTAATTCTCGAAATGTGGTGAAGCACCCTGCCACCGTGTTCGGACTCCAAGTCGAGAACGTCAAGTTGAAGTCACTGTTAACCAGTCACGGCGAGTCGGGGGCTTCCGCGGTGGTATTTTGGTAGACGGCCATGTGTCGAATGCTCGCAGTCACCAGCGACATACCTGGCGGTCGGTGGCAGTTTTTTAACATTGCGTTCATCAGTAAAACGGCCATTAACATGAATATCACCCAAAAGCAATATATGGAGCACCTTTTCCTTGAGAATCTTGTCATGCTCTCGTGACATCGTCTATGGAGCGGCACCGGGAAGACGATGTATACCTTACAAGATCGGTCCTCTTCACAAGTCTGCATTGTTGCAACTGTCTACGGAGACTGCATAGTGCGAAGAATGCTCAGAACTCTAGAAAGTGTGTGCGAAAATGGGTTCCAATCATCGTAGAACAGGCCTGCTCGTGTTACCCATTCACCATAGAAAGCAACTCGGAGGCAGAGTATACTTCAATATGTGCTCGACTCACAAACTTGTAAGGGAAACCAGCCATTACCTACGTGCACAGTCGGTGGCGACTGATGTTGACAAACGCGACGGAGAAGTATCGCAGTTCTCAATTGGAATCTAAGCAGCTTCTGAGCAAGTTTCCTGCTTCCAGAATTATGGAGTGAAGTGACTTTGCTTCATTCGGGATGCTCTTTTTGTTCTTTTGTTTTTTTATGCCCCCTTTTCCAGGCTGCACGAAAGTGGAGAAGTAAAGTTTAGTGCACTCAAGCTGTGGATAAGATCACCATTTCGGCAAATCCCAGTAATTTCTTACTAGTTGTGCGGACTGGGTAAGTCCGCTTCACATTGATAGAAAAAACTCAGCTACTTTGATGAAATATACCACACTACATCGGAAAGATATATCTGAGCTGCTGAAATTCAGATCTAAGTTAATCAATTTCCCAGATGTACACAATTGTCCAAAAACGATTTAATGTTGTCCAGAACCAACTTGGATCTTGGTCGATCCTAATTCAGAGATTCCGAATTGTACTGAGTCATTCAATTGTTTCCCAAGTTTCGTTTATTTTGGTGAATAATTGCAAATCTCAAGGGTTGTCACATCTATGATTTTCCATATAGTTTGAAAATATACATATGCAATATATATAGGAAGCTTTTGTATTAGGCTCCAATTCAAGTGTTTCTAAATGTAAGCACACTGGATCTAATCAATCGAACTCGAAGATGAACTATAGATTCGATGATAGGAAAGTATCTGAGAGCTTGAAGGAGATAACAGTTACAACATTTGCAACTTGATGCACGAGATTATGCTTAGCTTCAAGCTCCTCAAGACTCGGCGCCTTATCAAAACTCCTCCATACTATACATTCTCTATGTTGTGATAGAGATTATCCAATGGGACAGTGGGAAGTGGGAGAGGTTATGTAGAGTGAGGTTGTTATTCAGAATCCTCAGGGCTTGAATGTCGGTGCTTGCTTGTAACCTCCTACACTTTGCTCGGACAAGATTCGGGGAACGAATTTCCGATAAGGATCCTCTTGTCGCTTCCACTGCATCCCAATCAAAGCAACATGTGAGTCACAGTACAATTGTATCACTGCATTCTCTCAGCAGATGTTGCTTATGTACAATTTAGTTGATGGGAGATAGCTCGAATCAACACTGCAGACAGATGTCTCACGAGAGACTAAAACCTTCAATGGATCAGAGGTATGAAGGTAAGCAATGCAGTGAGTTACTACATCCCAATCATCGTGTACAACGTTCTAACTTTTTCGAGGAAGAAAGAGGTATGTACCAGTAAGTATTCAAGACCTCTTTCCACCTCACCCTGAACATGTTTGTAGATAGCTTTTGCCTGCTCCTTATCTTTCTGCAGCTCCCTTTCCCTTCCTGAGATTCATCATATTTCATAATATCATCAAATTTCAACAATTGCTAAAACATGAGAAAATATGAGCGTGCACGGTAACACTGACGTATACATATCCACCTACAGTGCTTGAAGCACCTACAGCACAGTTTTGATAGCAAATTCACCCACGCAAACCTTTGGCTTAAGCTTTATCTGCCATAACATTTAGACAAAATATGCTGTCCAGACGGAAACAGTACATTGGTCAGAACTAAGATTATACCTGCTGTGATGACAGGTTTGCCAAATTTTATGTACAGTCTCCCTGGGTTCAGCTTAGGAGCTGCAAATGGGAAATGAACAGGCTGATCTGCTACTTCCTCATTAAGATCTCCCCTGTAATAATAAAACGTGTGCAAGTTGTTGACAAAAGTAAGTCTTGAATCTATGCATACAAGCTTCAAAAACTTGATAACAAACGCCATTCCTACAAAGGTCACTTCTTGACGCCTGAAAACGCTGCCGTCTAAGGCAAAGAATGCGGGCTTTGGTTTGTAGACTTCCCTACACTCCAACACTCTCAACAAAGTGACTCAAATCTATCATGTTTATAAGTAAAAAAAGTCTAAATGTACCTGATATTAATAGTAGGAAGTGACACTTTTTCTTCGAGACCTGGTATTCTTCTCAGGTCATTCAGATCCAAAATTATCTGGCATTATGCACACAAATTATGTCAATTATTGACAACGTTCTTGAAGTCATTAAACTACGTATTTCTTGTCCAAAAATTCCCCATCAACTGCAAGTCTTTCTCTACTTCAAAATGTTTATAATCAGAGCATTGAGTGCATTCTACAAGCTCTTCTAAATCACTTATTAGGCGCGTGTTGCTCAAGTCTAATCGGGAAGTAAGATATTGATCCAAGGATAGCGTCAGGAAGACTGCATACATCAATTATATCATCCTCTCCAACAGTTGAGACAGGAACAATGGTGCACCCAAACCGCGCCGCCATCCTGACAAACTCCGATCGTTCAGGCCAGAAAAGCTTGTGAGCCTCGCCCTGTCACCAATCGTGTTGATGAGCGCAACAATCGACCGTTGACGAAACAGCCAACAAAATAGATAATTGTAGCGTACGACCTTCTGACTTTCAAAATGAGATGAGAATTACTGGACCTTGTTCTCAGTTTATTCCTATGCAAAAACAGTGGCTCATATGTGAAGCACCAAACTCTCGTACAGATCCTCTAGGAAACAAATGGTAGACGCCTTCCTTTTCTAAATTGAAAATGTATATAAACGTACCTTACGGTGAAGAGCCTCCCGCGCTCCTCCTGGATATAGCAATAAAGACTGTCCATTTTTAAGAATCTTAAACATCGCTTTACTTGACACGGGTACTGCTCCGAATGCACGATACAAGTCGCTCATTCCGGGTTCCTGAATTCATTAAAAAAATCCAAAGACAATGCATGTCACATATCAGATATGCACATGCAATTTGGTGACATTTTTCAGTAAGAGAATCTCTGTGCAGACCAGGTTTGGAACCAGACATGAAACCAGCGCATAAAACTAGGGATCTAAACAACTTGGCGCCCTTTACTTAAAATCAGAGCAAGAACCATTTGGTAGAAACTCGAATTCACTTTCAATTTGAATAAAAGACCCCAAGTGTTCTTTACACCCCTTCTGTATGAGTGTTGAATTCAAAAAAATTGAGGACATTCCATCATGCTGATCAGATCACAACCAACTTACAACACAATAGCATCACAATGCAGCACAAACAATCACATATTGATGTTCGATGTGTATGTATTCGACTACGAACCTGCAATTCTCCCTCGAATTGGGTATCAAACAATACTGGATGGCCCAATCCACGAACCATGAGACCCCTTTCCTTGAAAACTTTGTATATAATTAAAGTCATATCCAACCCAAAATACACGTGATTCCCTACAAAAAGAACTGGTCGATCGTTGGGTATATTCTGTAGACCGACTTCAACTTCACCGCTTATAGTTGTGGACAAAAACACAGGGCTAATCGCCTGCCAAACCAACCTACAAAAGTTCAAATCAAATATCGCATTAAAAATAAAAATAAATCACCTGCAACGATTGCCACCAACACACTCAGCAGCCTCTAACATCAAGACAATGTATGAATTCATTGAATTTTAGTAATAGACCTGCATAAAGTCTAAGGTACTACGATCTACTGAAAGACTTAGTATGACATATATACGACAAGTTGCAACACAAAGAGCTCAAAAAGATAATCAGGATTATATGTAATTTTATAGGAAAAAAAAAAAAAAAAAAAAAAAAAAAAAAAATTACTCAGAGTTTTTTTCGTAAGCATCGTCAAAATCATCCTGAGTTGGTACAACAAAATCTGTGACTATGTCCTGAGTTCGGCCTCGGCGGTAAAAACCAGCACCCTTTATCACTGTGGCTAGATTAAGCCCACCTTCCTGCACATGCCACACGGCCTTTCAGATGCCATAGGATAACAAGACCTTTAAACACACTAGGTTTGATGGTAAGAAAATCACAAGAGTTTTTGCTAAAGAAAGAGAAGCCTGACCAGTAATAGAGTGTGGCCACTATCTTTGAAGTATCGAGTTCGACACTGCGGCAAGATCTTCTTAAGCCTTCTAGCTTCATCTTCACTGGGCAACATTTGGTCGTTCCCACTGACAGACCACAGGCAAAACTTAGGCAAATCTTAGGCAAATATAATTGTCTGTGACTTCTCTTATGCTCTACCGAACCAATTCAAAGACTTCACAACCTATATTTCAGTTATGACTAATTACACAGAAATCCAGTGTTGCTATTGTATCTATTCTAGAAGATTTAACTTGAAAGTTTCCAGGATACTGCAGTAAAGAATACTTGCACTCCGGACACCTTCTGTGCAAATGTGAGACCTTAAATTCAACCTTTCTCACTGCGTCTTTCACGTTCTGAATCTAACACGATCAACTTGCATCATACATGAATTCTGCGTCAAAATTTTACAAACACATAATGAGCAGTAACGTACCTAACTAGCAACAACACCTCAGCCCGTACAGAGTGAAGCCGGGAATTGGTGTACAGCGCTGCTGAATGAAGCAATTTCAACTTCCATAGAAGGGCGTCTTTTGGAACTACCTCAGACAAAGTCTGCCAGAAAACATCAATCAATTACTGCTCATTCATGGCACACCCCTGGATATGACAGAGGAACTTCGCAGATACATCACCACATACTTCGAAACGCAATTCAACATTCCGTGATTTACAGAGGCTATTTATACACTCTGTAGAGCATTGTTCTCGATGAATTTGAAAATTACAAAAAGGCTGCCAAGTATTCAGGATATGATACCGGCAGGGTTGGCAATAACGTCAGAAGCGATTCACGTAACTGCAGCGCTCTCTCAACAGTAGAGGCATTCCGTTTCACTTTCGCTTCCGCCATCTTTATTGGATCACCTGAAAGCTCCACACATACGTATCAAATCACGTTCATCTTGAACAACTGCACACTGTTGAATAGGATAAACTTTTGTTTCTGGAAAGCTGTAATTGCTTACCCATAATGAAACTCAGTAAGTAAGGAACGACGCCAAACAACTGCGACGGCGCTACTTTCAACAGAGGGAACAGGGGCTGCAACTGGGATCGGTCAAACGATGTCGCTAAACATCGTGCAAATAACAACCATCGTCAACACTAAATTCAATTACGAAAAGATATGCATCGGTCTTTTCAAAACGTGCAAGTAGCAATTTCCATCATCGAACTGCAGCCAAAAGATTACAATTATCCCAAATCGAGAACATAATCACTTGCACAAATGAGTTTCTTATTAGAAACGGCAAGGCTGTATAATATGACTTACCTGGATTGGCCAGAACTAAAACCAGATCTATCTCTCGATTATGGGCTGCCAGTGCCAAGGATAAAGCACCACCAAGAGAATCACCCAAAAGATATAAAGGGGTATGTGGGCGACGAGCATGTTCTGCTAATACTGCTTCTTCTACAATCTTGAGAAGACCTGCAATTGCAATTTAACGTGTTAACTTTGCAGCTTTAAAATTCTCACACAGCACAAAATTCGCCACACAGATGTTCTATTGCTATGTGGTTTTTCATGTTTTCATTCAATACTTAAAACAGACCCACTGGAAAAGACAATTCTTAAACATTCAGACTGTACACCTGTAAATGGCGTTCGATCTCGAACCGGAATGTGAAGACATTGCAAGTTAAATAGCCTGCAACCACCAAAGTCAAAGATTAACTTAGAAAATAAGAACCATGGAAACATATCTAAACAAACTTTTTGTACGATATTGTTTCAAAACTATGAATATCTCTACTCAACTGTGTAGAGCACACATATTCCTCCAAAAAATACATATTATCATTGAAATATACCTGCCAAGTGATTCGTAATGCAAAATAAGACCCAGCCCTGTCCCATCCATTCCTACATTTGCCAAGGTAATAATGTCAGTAGGTCAAACTAGATCCCTGAATAGTCTCTTGCAGCCAAAAGAGCATTCAGTGCAAAACCGCAACGACTACTTAAAACATTATCAAGATAAGTTTCAGTTCAATATATTAAAGATGTTTGGGGTTCTACAACAAACGACCCACATTCACAATGGTGGTAGTTCAGGCTATGATGATATCGGATCTCGATCGCTACGACTTGAGGAAGGTTTAGAGTAAAACCATCAAAACCTTTCTCGTCAGAAAGCATGTGTGCACGAAAAGAATCCATCAAGGACAAAAATGAACATTGATTGTTTTCTAACTTCAATTAACGGACTGTAGCGAAAGAAACCAAATGCCCCAATAACATAAATACATCACGTTGACAAACATCATGATGTTTGTCGACAACTAAAACCATTGGAGATAGAAAGAGCAAATCCCACCTGGTACGAAGAAAAGGCTCGGCGCATCGGCTGTTGGGGCACTAATTAGGGGAGAGAACCAACGAGGTGGACCACCATCATCATTCAGAAAGTATTTCACCTGACGCCATGAACAAAGCCACATTTGTGAATTTATCGTTAGTCCTTAAATGAATGACTATGTCAGAGAAATTAGTGGTATGTTAATCTCTGAAACGATTTTAAGGCGGCATGAGACAATTATTGCAAACTTCACCTGCTCCATGTAGTTGTGAACACTTCGAGGGCCTGGAGTTTCGGAGTGATCATACACTGAAACGTTCGTAGACTTCTGAAGAATGGTGGTACGTATCTTCGATGCATTGTCAGCTCCTTTCTTCGCTACTCCATTTGCAGCTCCATTAGAAGCACCATTTGTAGATCCATTCTGCACCTTCTCATCAGATTCCCCTAGTTTTGTTCCCCTATCGGCAGATACAGCCGTTACTCGTAGTCGGCGTCCTCGTGCATCAGAGCACGATATTGACGAAAATTTGGCAAGCGCGTAACGAGTTTTAGCACAACCAGAGGATATGTCACTAAATTGACACCTGCCATTTGACGAAATCTGTGTTCCTAATAATCCCTTACAAAGCTCTGCTCCAGATGACGTCAACAGTGAAGTCATGTCTTTTCAGCTCGAGATGATTTTAAGCTGTGTTAAAGCATGCACATAAATCCACACTAACGTAGAAAAAGCAGTCAATGAACTGCAGTTCACTGAACTTGCAACTAACTTAATGGTCAGATGCACGATGTAGACAGTAACGCCGCACATTCACTGAAAAAAACATGCACCAACGCACAGTGTCAAATTCTTGTGTTCTGCAATTTCAGGACAAACGAAATTCTTTACTGTGCTGGCAAGACTGTGGAGACTCTAGCGAGCTGCTGAGCTTCCTAATTTCGAAAATTCATGCTTCCATGAGGTAAATATTAATGCTATTTTGCACCTAAAGATGTTATACAAGACAGTCAGGAATATAATGAGTAAACTAACCAACAGAATTCGAGTAAGGCCTTTCAACACATTCTCCATGAAATTCAGACTAATAACTCAAGAACTAGTGCAGATTTCAAACATAAAAAATAAAAAATAAAAACTTGATACAGAGACTCCGCCCCTAAGCACATCCGGCAAGTCTTCAGTTCGAAATTACGATGTTTACAATCGATCAGGGCTAAGTACCACAAGTACTACACAATTTGGGTTCATGATCAAGAATTTGCAGCACAGCAACTTGCAAAAGGTTGCGCATCGTGGAAGCTTTAAATTAAGTGAACTCAAACAGGAGTACTAGGAGGTGAAGCGGAGTCTGTAACAAATGAGGGTCATTTCTTTCGAGATACGACCGTATAACGATATCCTTTGAAGAATACTCAGTACTATCTTGAAAGTATCCAGATATACGTTCATTGTGATACGTATCTGAAAAAAATTGAGCATTCTACTGTACGACTCTCAAAAAGGGAAACTCTCGCAGCAAAGGCTCATAATTCCTTCAACAATTTCTAGCTTCAGCTCTTGATTCAACAATTGTTCAGAACACTCAACGACATTGCAAAGACAATTGAGAGCCTCCATTTCAACTAAATCATACTAACTCCCACAAAATTTGGTATCATCCGATAGCTCAACGAAATCATTCCGCCTTTCCAGCGACCAAAACCAAACCAATCACGACGACGAACCAGTTAAGTCATTACCAATCCAACACACCAGTCCCCGATATCTCTTCACCAACGGCCTACCTCAGAAAAACTGAAGCAGGAACGGCCACCTCTACCAGTCCACCTCCAACAAACGCGCAACGAACTCAAGACCAGCTTGAATTCCACTACTCCACCCTGAGTACTGTCCAATTTAGGACTCAGCTCAACGTCCAACACCACCACAGTGCAACATCGGGACGAAGCTGATATCCACACCGTACACACAACTTACATGATGGAAATTGATGAAAATGGCGAAGATATTTACAAAGTTCTTTACAAAAATACGAGGGACAAGTGCACGAAAAGCGTAGAGTGGCTGGCCGAGAGAAGAAACAAAAAAAAAAATGAGGTTGGAAATTGGAAATTAGCAGTTGAAGAAGAAGTTGAAGAGGAGGGGCACATGAAAGCACACGTCGATGCTGTGAGGTTATCAGGACATGTGGTGGATCGGCGGAGTGGGATCAGTCCGCCCTCGTGGCTCCACAATCTCGAGCTCGCTTGCTTGCTTGCTAGCTTAGCTCGACTTGCCCCCCCCCCCCCCCCCGCCCGCCGGCCTCAGTGACCGCAAAGGGGACGAACTAACGAACGAACGAAATATGTCGATGTTGTTGACGAACGCACCTCTTGAACGAAATATTTACCGGATGGCAAAATAAAACCCTATTCAATGATACCAACCTATGTTTTAAGTTTGCATTTTGGCATGTCATTCAAACTTTAACATGAACTATTGACTGCCAAAATTTGAATATTACAATGACTCCATAGTTTCTAAAAAATAATATTAAACTAGACATGTTGAATCTTGTTTCAAATGCCAGATTTCTGTAAATTATTCTTCAGATTATTAACAAATAAATAAGAAGAAAGAAAGTTTAATTTTTTTACAAAATTTGAGGATTGTATTAAAAGCCACAAGCTCCCATATTTTCCATACAATTCCATGTTATGTGGTCTAATCCTTTAGATTTAAAAAAAGAAAAAGAAAAAGGACATCAGTATGAATGGCCCCTCCTTAAAAATATGGTCCAGAGTTGGGGGTACAAGACATCAAAAGGGAAATTAAGTCCACCAAGACCACGAAACGGTCTTACGGTTCAGATCAACGACGCCAGGGACTACGGTCGTGGTTAAGAGACCCCATACCCGTGCTTCCCATGGTCCATCGTCGTCGGTCTCTCTCTCGATAGCGCCCCGCGCTTTCGTCGCTTCTTCCTTCTCTCGGCGTCGATGCTTCTTGCCCACGCTCATTCATTATTCATCATATTTATCATCTCGCGAGCCTCGCCCCAATTGTTGTCCCATTTGAGCCCATTCGCGGTCAAACTATTGCTTTAGTCGATTTGAGACTAGTTTGTTCCTCTGGTGGTGATTGGGTGTTGGGTAGGGTTTGTGCATGAATGTGAACCTTGGAGTCTGTGTTATTGTTCTGGAATTGGGTCATAGTTTCTTAAGGTTGGAAGTTAGTAACGTAGCGTCAACTTGATCAATTGGGTATGATTGATAGGTTTGTTGAAGTTTATGTGTTTATATTTTCATTTTGGGGTTGAATTGTGTTGGAAATGGTAGAGATAATCACAGGAGTAAGGTTTTTCTGTTGGGGTTTCATTGATTTGTTGACGCGTTTTGGGGGATCATTGATACAAGGGTTGAGTGTGTTTTCTTTTTAGGGGGGGGGTCAAGGGGTTTGAAATCGAGGCTTTGAATTGGTTGCTGATTGATATTGGAGAGTTCAAGGTTGGCCGAGTTTGTGTAGGCAAGGTTGGTAGCGGGTTGACGTGGTGGATGCGTGATGGATCATGTGGGATCCTCGTCGAGCGCGAACCAATATGCGCAGGGCGAGCCTTTCTTTGACTTGTTGCAAACAAACCCAAATTCCGGTTACTCTGGATCGCAGAAATCTCCGCCTGTGTATTTTGGCGATGATGACGTCCTTCCGAGCATGGACTTCCAGCCGATGATGGACACAGGCGTCAAGGGGAAGGTGGATGATAGCAAGCGTGGGTGGCCGTCTCAACATTCAAACACTTCAAATTCTGTACGTTTTTAGTCCTTCGTCGTTGTGTGAGTTTCAATTGTATTCGTTGTTTCATACTTCCAAGTAATTGTGGTGGAGTTGCTGGCATGACGACCCCTAATTCAGGTCATCTTCAAACATGAACTTACGAGGAAACCAGGATAGGTTTTGGAGTGCTGCCACTTTGTACCAATGTGAGTTATGTAGTAGTGAGGAGGTAATGGTTTCAATGATGTTTTCCATGTTTGGCCGCATGATCGTGACATTGTGAGATGATGCTGATGGAGCAGTGGAATCACGCCCCATCTCATGAATTGAATGTGCGCCCCGACAAGGATGCTGTTGAGACTGCTACAGTGGCAGCCGTGGAACGCACAATGAAGAAGTATGCGGACAATCTGTTGCGGGTTTTGGAGGGCATGAGTGGGCGACTGACTCAGTTAGAAACCAACAGTCTTCGCATGGAGCACTCAGTCGACAAAATTAAGGTTGATGCAGCTGACAACTTTGGTGCAACTGATGGAAAGTTGAGATCGTTGGAAAATATGATTCGAGAGGTAATTTTTTCTTTCTTCATCGACCTTTGATGATTGGTGAGTGGTATTTGGAGGTTTTATAAATTAGTTTATGCAATCAACAGCTATTGTTTGGTTTTTGGATTTCGATCCGTTTATTCGATTCGCTATCAACAGTCAATGACCAACTTGGTCAAGTTTAGGCCATTTTTCGGCGATTTTTTTAGATGATACCACCTCTGAACCATGAAATTTCAAATTTTCTTTCTATTCTCAGCGTTGTCGTCGTTGATTATCTTGTGGACAGAAGCTGTGATTGCACTTGACGTCATTCTATCATACAATTTATTATTTTTTGTTTTTTTGGAACACTAAATTTAATGAATTTTATCGTTTTTTGCAGGTTCAGCGAAGTGTGCAGGTGATTCGTGATAAGCAGGAAATTGCAGAAGAACAGATGAAGCTTGAAAAACTTCAGCAAAGTGCTCAACGCGAGAAATCTTCATCTGTTACTTCAACTCCCACTGTCGAGACCGTCGAATCACCCCTCGCTCTTCCACCTGCAACGTCGGCTGTGAAATCTGTCGAGGCTCCTCCTGCGCAACCAGCCCCAGTTCTACAGCAGCAGTCTCAGCAAGTGGGCCAGCTTCCCGCGCCAGCCCCTCAGATGCAGATGCCTGGTATGGCACCCCCTCAGCAGCAATCACAGGTTCAAATGCAAGGCCTACCGTCTCATCCTCAGCATCAGCAATTGCATCCGCAAGTCCAGGTTGCGACATCCCTGCATCAACAACCGCAAGGACAGAACCCTCCACTTCCTCAGCAGCAGATGCAAATGCAAGGCATGCACCCGCCTCCTCAGCATCAACAACTGCAGATTCAAGGTACTCCTCAGGCCCCACAGGTGCCGCCGCAAAATGCTCAGTCCCAGCCTCCTCCGCAACCCCATCTTCATCACCAACAATTACAGCTGCAGGCGCCAACTGTAAATCAGCCGGATTCTCAGTACCAAACTCAGCAAGCGCCACCGGTTGCTTCTTCACATTCCTCGCAAGTTCCATCTTATTATGCCCAGCAACAGCAACTGCAGCCTGGACAAACAGGCCCAACTCCAGCCATGGCGCAACATTATGGCAATCTCAACCAAGACGTTAATCCCTATGGAACAGCACAGGGTAGCTACAATCAAGAGGTCCCTCCTCCACAGGTGCCTGGAGGCTACGAGCTTCGTTTCTTGCCACTGCCTGCACCAGCTCCTGTAATGGGGCAAATGCCTCAGCAAGTGCCGACCAGCCAGCATCAGCAACATGGACAGAGCGGAGGTCAGATGTTTGAGCCTCCCCGTCATGCTGTTGGTCCACCTCCACAAGGACCTTATCATCCTCAAGCCCATCCTTCTCAAGGCCGGGATGGACTCCAAGTATATAACCAGTATGTCCCCCCCCAATACCGGATGGCCCAGCCTGGTAGTCCCTCTCCTGGAGGTTATCCGCAGCTACCCACAGCCCGGCCGGTTCAACCGTCGATGGGGTCGCAAGGAGGACCAACTCCAGTGGCTGCCAACCGCGTCCCAGTTGACGAAGTGATTGATAAAGTTGCAAGCATGGGGTTTGGAAGAGATCAGGTTCGGGCCACTGTCAGGAAATTAACTGAAAATGGTACATCTGTGGACTTAAACGTTGTCCTTGACAAGTTGATGAATGGTGACTCTAGTGGCAGAAATGAGAGTCAGCAACCTGCGAAAGGCTGGTATGGCCGGTGATGAAGATTGCTTTCGTGATTCTTCTCTGGTCGTGCTTCAGGTACCTTAGGTCATGCTGTAATATTCAATAACATCTTAAGGTTATCAGCTTCTCTCATTAGGATAAGCTGATCAAGTGAATAGGGCCCCTCATGGGAGGTGAATTGTTCATTGTGAGCTCAGGAATATTAGTAGCTGAAATGCTATCTCCATGTACTTCAGCTTCTGGATGTAATCTGTTGCATGTACAGCCGCTATGTTTTCTTGTAATTTCTGTAAGTTAGAGGCTGAAGTGCTTCGACACATCGGCAGTGATTGCCTCAGTCGTTTTTGGGTACAGCTTGGAGGATGGCTTCACCCATGATGTGCTCTTAAATGGTTGATTCACCCAATGAATCTGCAGTCGTTTGTCAATCAAACTTAAAATCAGTTGCTAAAATTGAGTTGCTTGTGTGGAAAATTTATACGCTTTCTTACTTGGGATGTATTTACCTTGGTTGTGTTTTGAGAAACGCGCTGAAACTTCGTTAATAACGCAATGAAATCAGCATTAGAATTGATTCTGGGGTGTATGAAGCTTGTTGAGGTTGATTACTTGAGTACATATAATATAGTTGACAGGATGGTTGGGCTGTCAGGTATTCATGTTGGTCAATTCAAACTTGTGTGGTGTGATGTGTATAGAGCGTCTGGAAAGTTTAACTTTGGCATAATGCTCAAGATTTTCTTATATGATGTAAATGAAGGTTCAAACTGTCACTTTTCTTCAGATGAAGTTCTTAACTTTAGTATAGTATCCATGTCACAAACTTTCTCCAATGTACATTTTTTTACTATGGTACTCCTCAACATAGGTTTGTTCTTTACATGAATCTGTCCATGCCACAAAAACCATTTAAATTCCTTATTCCTATTATTTTTAGCATTTTGTAATTAACACACTATAATATTATGGACCTAGAGCATAATCAAATATGAGTGTTGTGTTCTCTAATGACTAGGAAATCAATTCTCATAAATGAATGATTTTTATCACTAGCTTTGTATACAATTACATTCATTGTACATTTTATATATGGAGTCAAATTTTCACAATATATACAAGTATAATGGATTTACAACTTTTGGATTATAATAAAATCATTATATATGTTGTCATGTTGTGGTTTAGCTACCATGTAAAAATAGTGTACATATATATATCTAATATATAATGCAAGCCATGTTATTAGATTTTAGTTGGTTACAAAATGTGATTAGATTATTACTTTGAAGTGGTTAGTTTAAAAAGCCTATTATTGAGGTTGATTTTATGTTGATAATAGATTTTATATATTTAGAGCCACCTTTAGACATTGGTGGCTTTTGGAATCTTCTTTTGTTTCTTTTATTTGGTCTTTAAGGCACATACTATGCAAAACTTATTAAAAAAAAAAATTAGAGAAGGGATTTATCATAAAAAGAGTAGTTATGTCAACCATATAGATAAATGGTGATGGATGATGAAAATCTCCATTCTTATAGGCCAAAATTCATGTCCAATGGACTTTCGAGAGACTGCTTGAGGTCTTCTGAGGAATTAGGGTTACTCTTTCGAGCCATTCAAATTTGGAAGACTAGGGTCAGGAAGTTTAGGTTTTTGGCTATCGTTTTGGTGCAAATTTTGTACGATTTGAAGTTTTTATAAAAGAGATATAAGAACTTACAGTTAAGGTGTTGGTTTTGTATCTATTGTCACTCTTTTGGACATAACGCATGTGTATGGAAAGCAATGAAGGTTTGGCGACTAAGGTTGGAAAGAACACTTTCTTGGCGACACTTTTTATATATTGTTTGATGAATTCTAAACTAAGATGAAGGAGATATAGGAAGTTGAAGTTATCTAAAGGTAGTAAGTGACCCAATTTACTAGTGGTTGTGTTTTAAGCTATATCTTGAGCAATTTTACAAGATTTTGGCTAAATTTTTTTAAGAATGTGTATTATCATGTTACTAAACTTTAAATATAAATTTGGTGGTATTTGGATTTTGGATTTCTGAGATATAGAGAAAATAGTGCTCATGTGCTTGTAAATTAGGGTTTAAAGCACTTGCTAAGGTTTCTAAGATGCCAACAATTTGTAGTAGATTTATGATTCATTTTTTTGTGGTAAAGCTTAACAATAAGATCTACATTCTCTAGAAATTTTTGAAAAAGTAATCAATTGGATCAAGAGATATGAATATCTAAAGTTCAAAGAGAAAAAATCCTTTGTAGGAGAAAAATGTTATGAAAGGGTTTTGCTACAATTTGGACATTTTATGCAAAGTAAAGGAGGTTTTGGGAGCCAAGACTTTGTATACATCTTAGAGATGGAGATTTGGAGCTAGAAAAAAATTATGGTATAAAGATGGAATTTTATCCAAAGATTATGGATTTTTTTTGAGCTTATTGAAAATTAAGCTTATTGACAAATGATTTAGTTATTGTTGAGATCATTAATTGTAGCCGGCACTCTCCATAATATTTACTGTAGACTACAATAAATACTGTAGCTACAATATTTAGAGTCTAGTGGAGAAGTACTTTTTATCCTCTCCCCTTTTTTCTTCTTCTATACGAGACACAACCAGATCAATAGAATTTTATGTATGAAGCTTTCTCTCCTTAGAAACCTTCTTGTGTGTAAGACTTACTACTACTCTTGTGTGTGTGTATTACTTATTATTACTCTTGTGTCTTTTCTAAACATTCTCAACAGTTATGACTAGGTATAGCAAAGGATGTTAGGACATTTCTAGATGCTTTAAAAAGCCTTATGAATAAAGCTTCTTAAATATAAAAAAGTTTTATCAATAGAATATCTTTTGATACTATTGTATTTATTTGATCTCTGTAATAAGAATACATCACTTATTAGACCTTGGCCAATAAGTTAAAGCTAAATTCTTTATAGCTAGGTACCCATTGTATTCCCAGATAGAAAATCATGTCATATGACAATGTAAGGTATTAAATATTTTCAAATTTTTATGAATCACAATTTCTTTTGTTTCCATCATATTTTATGTTTATGTTTATGGATATTTTAATTTTGGCAATAATCGGTATACCAAAATTACACCATTCATTTGAAAAAAATAACTATAGATATGTGAACTTGATTTATTCAACTAATTAATTTACATAAATTAAAATCAACCGAAATATAAATTGGTATTTTTTATTTTAAATATTTGAACCAAAATATAAATAAGAATTTTCGTCAAAAATATTTTTCTCTTGAGGTTTAGAGTATTTTATTAGTATGGAGAGCCATGATAAGGTTGATTTCTGAGACCATGCTGAAATAATATTTTTGCCGCATAAGATTATTTTATATATGTGTATATATATATATATACACATATATACATATTCCATTATTGGCCTGGCTTAAGATTCTGGACATAGATATAATTGCTTTAGATATACATTTATTAGTGGAATTTAAACACCATGTGTTTTTCAGCCTTCATTGAATCTTTGTTGATTATCACTATGTGATGATTTATATTCAATAGGGATTTATTTAGTATTCATTTGGTAGACTCATAAATATTTTTTATAATGTTTTCATAAATGACGAAGTAAAAGCTCTACAGATGTTACCAATGCCCCAAAACTGTTTTTACATCTTTTGAGATTCTACAAGGTATTATTTTGTTAATGATTTCATAAATCTCCATCTAAAATCGCAGGAGATGTAATTTTCCATCTGAGAAGCTTCATCAAACACCTTTCACTTATTTGTAACCAATTATAATATTCGTTTCATGCTTTAATGAAGCATTTACGTGAGATTGAATCAAGGAGATGTTTCATTCTGGAGTGGATCTGCTGCATAGAATGTGGCGCCGACAGGGGTGTTGAAGCCGGCATAAATAGCTTCGAAGTGCCTCTGATATTCTGAATCAGTGTTGTTGCCGGAGGGGTAGATTGAAGCGTGGATGTCTATATTGGAGCCATTGTGCATCGATGTGAAGTTGCGACGAGGAGAATATTGATGCGACAGTACTGTTAATACGGTGTATCTGTGAGTTCAAGTTCTAGGTCGCAGCGCTGTATTCCGGAGGTATCATTCATGTTGTGCAAATATAGCTCCTGGCATTATCGAATAGAGTGATCACAACTTGTTAGATTTTTCTTCTCTTGGACTGAATGCCGAAATTGGAAGCGCGTCGTATGTTCTGTATGGGGAAGGAGAACTCGGAAAGGTGAGCTTGTATCTGTTCCTCTTGGTTTTTCTTCTGTTTTTGTTTTTATTTTCACTCCTTGGATCTTGGTTGTTGTATTGGTTGCTGACAGTCGGGTGTGGAGTGTGTGGAGGGCAGTGGTTTATGAGGGCCGTAGCTTAGGTCATGGTTTCTCCTCGATGCCGTCGTTTCTTAGCGGCGGCGTCATGGTTCCTGTCTTGGTGAAGATATGCGGTCTGTCTTCGGCTTATCTTGAAACTATTTGTTGCAGCGACAATTGTATTTATTCAAGGAAGATAGTTGATTAGACGTAAAGTTGTATGTGTTTTGAGGTTCTTGGTGGTGGCTTGCAATTTCACTGAAAACTACAGGTAAGTTTGGAATTTCACTTCCTTATATAGTTTGAATATTTCTGGGGAGGCATGAGGTTTTTGAATATACTTTTCAAAGCGGATTTAGTCCGAGTATTGGCCCGTGATAGGTTGTTCATTCAAATTGTTGCTCCAGCCTTCATCTGCTATGAGTTATGGATTGCTTACTAATATTGAGATTTGCATTATTTTTCTGAAGTTTGGCTTTGAATCTCATTTCAGCGATCATGAATCGTTCAACTCTTCGTTGAGTGTTAGAAATTATTCTGAAAACAATAAATGGTAGTGCTTCTTCCAAAGAGAACCTTAAGAGGCCTTTGCTGCTTTTCTTGTTGTGTTTTGCCCCGATTTTGAGAGCAAAGCCGTTGTATTATTACAGATTCCAATAATCGATATACTGGATACGTGACACTCGTAGTTCATGTATTTGTTTGCAGTATTTCAGTTCTGACACTGAAGTTGGAGAAACAAGTAGGACAGAAACATTGACCATGATTCTTCATGGACTGGTTATGTATTGTTGAAAGTTATGTTCAAATGGATCATCCATCACTTATTCTCTTTGCGTGTCCATCAAATTTCTGTGACCATAATACGTTTCCAAGTTGAGTGCTGTCCACAGTTTAGAAGGAATAGCTGCTGCTTTCTAAGCATTGTGTTCTCAGCAATACTGTGCTGTAGCGCTGCATCTGGTTTGAGCTGGTGCATGAAGGGCTTATAATCTTTCTAGTTTAAAGTTTACTTTTGTCAGCATCTCTTTTTTGTGGCAGAATAATTTAATTTCTTAGTCAGTAACACGTTTATAGAGATAAAAAAATGTTCATACTTTAATTGCAGGCAGTCCACTCTGAATCCTTCAAATACTTTGCCGTGTCTTTATTGGGCATATTAAACTTCATGTCTCAAATTCCTCTATTGCTTATTGTACTTCGTTTGCTTGAGATAACCTTTTCAAGCGCTAAAATCTTTCTGTTCTACAGATACAGACAGAAGGTGCATGCATCTATGCTAGAAGTCTCATCACTTTCATTGCCAGTAGCCACGGTACTTTTGACGTTACAAGAGATTTTCATCACCATTTAGCTAGAATGAGTCGGCGTAGTTCATAGTCAACCGTTCATTAAATAAATACAATGCACTACAGGTTGCTAAAACGCTGTAATATGGAAAATAAGTGGCTTTTGTTAACTCTATTATGTTCTGTAGCAGAGTGGATTCTATTTCTTCAAAGGTATTATATATTATTTTCTTTCGACACACATTTTCCTGAGCCACATACTCAAAGGAGCACAAGGCTAGATATTTATAATGACCTAGAGTTTTACCAGGGGATTTCTAAAAGAGACAGAATTGCTGATGTTGAGGCAAAACATGTGGCTAAAAAGAAGGATAGCTTCTCTCTTATTGTACCGTTCAAGAATGAGAGCTGAGTTAAAGCTGAGGATGGAGCGAGAGAACTCGCGATTCTTCTAAAGCTAGCTATATTATTTCCAAGCAGTAAGTATGTCATTGACCCATCAACAACTTTGGGCGGTGAACAAGTTTATTTTTATCGAGGCTAATAATGTGCTACTTGGTATGTCTCGTATGTTTCACAAGTAGACGTATTGGGTACAAGCTGCTACTCATCTAAGGATTTGTGGACATGGAAACCCGAAGGAATAGTATTGCAGAGTGAGTGGGCAGACAAGACCAACGATTTATATTTCTGAAATGTGGTTGAACGACCAAAGGTTATATACAATGAGAGAACAAATAATCATGTGGATGTACATCGATAATGGAAATTATTTTAAAGCTGCTATTGGTGTAGCCATTAGTATCCAACCATTGGAGGGTCCCTTTGATTACATGGGCAGTATAAGACCTCATGGCTGTGAGAGTCGGGACATGGCAATTTCAAAGATGACAACGGAGATGCCTGTATCATCTACTCATCAATACGAAAGAATGAGTTGCACATAGGTATGGAAAGGTTTTAGGAGACTCTTTAAGAACATTCATGTGATACTGCATTTAAAAGTTGTGATGTGAATAGTATTTAGTGACTAATGTGAACACTGAACAATCTCAATCAGCTTATTTGTTTTGCTATATTCGTCAACGTTGTTTTTTGGGTCATGAACAAGATTCGTCACTTCATGAAATTATGGCACTCGTTAACGCTTTGTGAAATAGCACGGATTTTTAGTTCAGTTCTTAGTGCAGTTGTAGTATAATTAATTGTACTTTGGTTTTCTTTAGATTGAAAACTGTAGGAATGTTGACCGAAGACTACACTGATATTGTGGAAAGAGGAATGAAGACGGTGTTGGTGAACGTCGAGAACCACCAGCAGTCTTCAAGCACCGTAATATATACTACATGGTGACTTCATGCTGTTCAAGCCTGAACCCAAATGGTGCATTGGTCCATGTAGCTGAGTCAATGCTGGGGCCCTGGGCAACGCTGGGAGATCCTTGTACGGGAGGAGAAGATGAAGAATTTTGAGCACATACGTTTTTCTCACAAGGATCATTTATATTACCCTTACCTGGTTTAACTGATTCTTTTATATTTATGGCAGATAGGTTTGTTCCTTCATTCGGTATTTGTTCTTTCAATGTTTGGTCTCTGGTATTAGAGACATCGGCACTTGATATCCCGGAACGTTGTACATGTTCTGTAAAGTCCATTCTGTCTTTGCCGCTTTACATGTTTGTTTTTTTTGCGACATATTACCAAGCAAAACCTGCATTCAATTGCATGCAGTTGAAGTTGCAAGCGTTCTTGAGACTCTGGATTTTCTAAGGATGTCCACACAAAATTCATACATAAATCACGCTGTGTGCTCCTACTTAGTCATCGTTAGGCGACACATTATTCGCTTTTGTGATATTTTATGTTGAATGAAGTTATTAGTTGTGTGGTAGAATCCGACAAGTTGACATCAGGTATGTGTCATCCTTGAATTATATCTATTTTAATAGCTAGTTGTGTTTGTAAGATCCTTCAGATTTCCGCTACGTTTCGTTGCTTTTTAAAATGGGTGAATCAGCTGTACCAAAATTGAACTCGATCTCTAGCTCAACATTTCCGCAAGGCAACCAGGTCCATATCCCTAAGGCCAATAAGTAGAAACTTCCTGAAGGCTGGAACCTACTGCTATGCAGTAACTTCAATTCATATCGGATGTTTGGCAGATAATCAATCCCACTTTGTACGCCAGATTCAGGTTGATTTTTGTACTAATAAATTCGTTAGCAATTTTTGGCAATGGAACTTAGTTTCATAAATATAGCTCATTTTGAAGTTCTTTTGCCTACTTCAGCAATATCAAACATAGTTATCAGATTCAAAGTCTCGTAGGAATTGAGGGAGTCTTTTTTCTTAAAAAAAAACCTTTAATATTCCTAAAGCAATTTTATAAATCTAAGAAGGATAAGACAATGATCAAACTACAGCTGGTGTCCTGTATTTTGAAAGATGTGTCTTTGCTAACAATTTAAATGTAAGTAAGGCAATATTCAGGTCTTCAAGCATCACTTGCTGTAAATTGCAAAAGTTGTGATGTGATAATGTGCTAATAGGTCGTCTCCAATTAAGTAAACATACAGAGGCATGACCTTTGTGATAATGCAATGAGGGCTTTGCCTAGCCCAAATGCCACTTGACATCTAGTGTATAAGCCCTCATTGCACAAGCCTAGCCCAAATGCCACTTGACATCTAGTGTATATTGACTTTGGTTGTGCCTTTTTCTTTATGAATAACATAAGAATATCTAGTTTCCTAAATTGATAACATTTTACAATAAACATAATCATATTCTACCATGTTATTATAAGATCAATATAGATAGATAGATAGATAGTTTATTTTATTTTATGTGTACTTAAGAAGAATATATATAATAAAAAAAAAATGTTAAAAAATTGTATCCATTTAATGACTTTGATGCAATCAAGTGTTACTATTGAAGTAATTAGAAACAGCTTTATTTATTTATATTTTTTTTGTGGTTTTTGACTCTGATGGGTGTGGTGGTTACATGTAAATATTATTTGTTGTATTTGTAGTATTTGCGGCTTTTAAAATATGCCACCTATATTTTTTTTCTATAAATATTTTTATTCTTGTTATTATCACTATTATCACATTAATAATGCACCATAGAAAAAAAAACTAAATCTTTACTTATTTTTGTGTTTCTTGTAGTGTTTTAATTTAATATTAGAATCAGAGTTGCTTTTATTCTTAAGCTTGTGGTTGTTCTCTTCATGATGAAAATCTTATTTAATTTTTTTTTTAGTGTTGATATAAAAATTGTCATGGTAGCAGTATATTAATTATATCTTCTTGTTCTTTGTATTAACAACAACAAGTTTAGATCTTCCTACTCCTTCTATTGTTTGTTGCATTAGCAATGTGCTTTGTTGTAATAAAGTTTATTTAAAAAATTATATTTTTTCTAATTTTATAAATAGTTAAAATATGAAGAATAAAAAGACTAGGAGTCAAAAGAAGGTGAAGTATGAAAATATAAGATGCTAGATTAAAAATAATTCTAGATATATAACTATGAACTAAGTAACACTTAGATTTTTCTAAAAACTATATTGGCAAGACTAAGGCGCCCCTTGTCTTTTTTCTATTTTTATACTGTAGCAACTAGGTTTCATAGAAGTTTCTAAGAGAGGTCCAAAAATCTTTGTCATATCCTACATAAGTCTAAAGAATCTTCTATATATTATTCTAAAATACTATAGAAGATGTAAAGTGTTTCTAAAGGAGTGTAGAAGCTTCTAAAAGATTATAGAAGATACTTTAGAAATTCTAATCAATAACAAAATATTTCAATACATTATAGAGTATTTTAGATGGTTTTTAAGGTTTTAAAAGATTTATAAAAAAATATACTAATATTCTTAAGGATTTTAAAAGGTTTTAAAATAACATAGAATATTTGAATAGAAATTTAACATATGTCTATGAGATATTTATAATTCTTGTCATATTTTTTGTTCTTTTGGTTATTTTTATTTTTTTAGTAGCTTTTTTCAATAGTGTAGATTTAATAGTATAAGAAGCGACTAATGTCAACTTTATATTATATAGCATTATATTTTATAATTTCAAATATTTTATAAAGAATAAATATTACTATTATATATATATATATATATATAGATGAAATTTTGAAATATATATATATATATATATATATATATATATAGATGAAATTTTGAAATATATATATATATATATATATATATATATATATATAGATGAAATTTTGAAATATATATATATATAATTTTAAATCAAAGACAAGTAGCACTTTTCAACAACAAAATTAAATCTATTTTACTATTTGATAGAATTTAATATTCTTCATCTTTATAAATATATATTCTTTTAAATTTTAGAATTTAAAAAGAGATTTATTTTTTTATTATTTAAATTAAAATTTATTATAAAAAATATATATTTTAAGGTTCTTATTTTGGTTTTTAAGGGCTAAAATTAAAGTAATAATAGAATTTTTTGGCTCTTATTATAATAGAAAATAAATTATAATTTATATGATATTTTATATTTTAGATTAAAAAAAATTTAATTAAAATTTTTCAAGAATTTAGATTTATAATAATAATTTTTAGAAAATATAATATAATATATAAAAATTAATTTATTGTTTCAATGAGATATGTAGCCAATTAGAGATGGTTTTTGTCTCCCTTGCTTTATCCCATTGGTTTATCTTCCCTAAGTTGTTTTATATAAGAGATATATACATTATACTACAATTAATGCATATTTATCTTTCTTTCTTATAAACAAGTATGATATATTGAAGATATATGTCTTTTCTATATGATATTAATTTTGTATATTATACTATTGAAAAATATATTGTGTATCTCTAGTATATTTGTACTAACCTTCCATAGCTAATAATCTATTTTTGAAATATACAACAAAATCTATTGTCCACTTCTATTTATTACATTAAATATAAAATTGTATTTTTAAGTCATTCTTATAAGTATTAAAAATTAAAATTTTAGGTACAAAGTACTTTTAAACATCAAATCAAATATATATTTATTTTCATGTATATGATGATTGTTTTCAATATTTCATTGGTGGCTACATATGTGATCATCATTCATGTAATATATAGTGTGAAATCTTTACATCATCTAACCTTGTTTGTACTAGGAAAACCCTATAATTTTGAAAGACTCTTCTTGTAAAAGTCTGTAATTTATATACTTTTCGTTAACACTCTTGTATAAGTTGAAAAGATTTCAACGATGGAAAAATATTTATGTTAAAATTCTCTCAAAGAAGTTCAAAATGACCTGTAACAATACTTGAATGGATACAGAGGACCAATAAGGAGTTGTTCAAAACAAAATCATCTGATTCAGTTTGCATGTTAAAATGAGTGATGACTTACCTATCCTCAAACCACCTAATGGCATACTAAGCATGAATAAAATGTTTTTTACTGACAATAACATTCTCAAACCAAAAGGAAGCTTAAAAAGTAATATAAATGCTCTCTTGAGTTTACGGTCTAGTATGCTTCGAATTTTTATTTTATTTCTTTAGCACAAGTCACCTCTTGTGAAAATAATTTGCCAAAAGTAACTAAATTAGAGGTGAGTTGAACACTCCAACATCCAAAACCTCCATTCTACGTTAAAACACTACCACTGAAATGTCCACTCACCATGCTGCTCATGATAAGATAGTATCGCAGAAGAAAAAATCAGACTATCCTTACAAAAAGGTCTCGTAGGACCCATAGGAAGTTCTTTGTCATTGGGACGAACCAAGACTCAAAAGCCCAAAAGGAAAAATGTGAACACTGGAGGTGGTAAAAAAAAAACAAAATCGTACAGATGACTTCCTGATGACTATGGTACACTCTCGAAAGGGAAAGCATGTAATAGACTATAAGCCCCTCCTCTAACAGGGGTTTCAAAGCCTTTAAAAACTGGGAAACTTAATGGAGCCGAAAGAGGTTAATGTAGGAAAACCCACAAAAGAGGCAGAATATTTTTGATTTTTTTGGTTTTACAATATTGTTTGTCTTTTGTCTTCAATGAAACGTCTTTCTCACGGAAGCATGGGTTCTGAATAAAAGCACAGAACCACTGGAAAGGGTCCGGCATACATCAAGTCCAATAGAGCTCGGCAGGGGCGCTGTCCATGTGCCACATGTTGCTGGTGAGGGGGCTGCCCATGTCTACCTGCACCAACAAAAGATGGTCGAAGCTGTTATATCAAGTGGGCACAACGAAACTACTTATGTAAACAGGAATTTGATCAGTCAAAACCCATGAGGGTTTTGCATTTCAAATAATACACATAGTACATGAATAATCAACAAGCCATACTTCAACTTAAGGTTTTACAAGTCGTAGTGAGAGCAGGCTCTCTTTCCTCCTCAAAATTCATGAGTAAAAGTGACTTTAATATATTGATATTCCTGGCATTCATCTTCTTTCAATGGAAGCCACCTCATACTAACACACAAGAAGTTCTACGCATTGTACTTTCTGGAAGGTATATATTTCTGAACTAGCAAAATCCCCTTCACATCCATCCAAAAGTAGGACAGAAATACCTGTACGTAACAAGGTCAGTTTCCGTTCCCTCGAGCCTTTTGGATTAAGGAATACCCAGTAAAGCTAGAGTAAGTAGTACCTGGAAAGTATCAACTTCTTTGGTTTTCGACCACACAGGCTGCTGAAGGACCGTGTCCTGGAAGGTCATCATGTTAGTGGGCATGTTGAAGAGCAGATCGGCTTCGGTTTCATCTGATCCTGGAGCTTGAAGATCTGGTAGATCAGTCGCTGACATCTGCTCTGTGGACAGCAGACTGTTACTTGGGTAGCAAGCTCCACCTCCTTCAAACCCATACGCTCTGTCACTCGAAGAATTTCCTATATCTGGTACGAAATTTACAGGCTCCGAAGTTTTTCCAGAGACCACACTGGCACTGATGAGGCATCCACTTTGTACATTTGCTCCAGACTGGCTCGGCAATCTACCTGGAGACTGTTTGGTGCTTGCAGGGGCACTCTTTGTATGTAATTCATATCCCTTTCCTTTCTCTTTGTTGAATTCCTTGCTCTGCAACCCAAGTAGCCAAAACATGGTTAAGGACCGTTGCATTACAATCAAGAAGTTAACATCGTTGTTAGAAAATGCTTAAAGCTTGGACCATGTGCTCGATAATAGGATCTTCCAAGCAGACACAATTATAATAATGAAACTCCCACCAATTAAAACTCAACACATCACTTCAAAAGCAACGAAGGTAGTTTTCTTTCATCCAAATTATTTCTTAGTTTACAAATAACTGATTCTTTAGTTATATTTGTTACCTTATTGAGATCAACTGATCCACCCCGACGCCTGCTACGATTTTGGAGTTGCAAGAATTGTTCCATCCAGCCAGAGCTTATGAGGTCCGTCTGAATGAGAAGTTGTTGGAAGTGCTGGGGGATGCGCAAATTTGCTCCCAACATGAACGACTCAAACATGCCCTCTTCCAGCAATTGTTGAAAGTTGTTCAAGGATCCTTCAAACTCGGCACTAGTAAACATTTCCTTCAAACTGCAAAGCCATAATTCGTGGTCACAAAATCTTCTTTTCATTTTGAAGTGCCTCCAGTTAACATGTGAAAATACTCAAACATGGAGATTATCTAACCCATTCCATGCCTGGGTCTATACCTTTCAGAAGCTTTGGCAATATCCTCAGAAGACAAGAACCTCATTAGCTCCCCCTGCTCTTGCTCAGTAAGAAGCCCCGTAAAGGTGTCAAAATTGAGTATGTCCTGCAAGGCGAAACTGCTTGAGATGAGAACTTACACCAGCCTAATCACCAAACAATGTGACCAATCAAAGCGAAGCTCGATTATTAGTCCACTTATAATTCAAAAAAGCTCAAAAACCTGGTCAGGAACCATGATGTTATTGTTCTTCACACAGTAACTCCAAGTTGGATGAGAAAACCTACCTTCAATTCGAGAAAAACCAGGGGAGACTGACAGCTTTTGAGAACATCTCGCTTTTTGTAGGGATAATTCTCTCTGCGCACAAGTTGATCATTTCAGATCAGGGAAATACTATCGAACTAAGGAACCAGAAATTTTAATTTAAACATTACTCAGTAACCTCTTTGCTCATAGATTTATACCTGCATATATAGAGATAATAAAGAAACCGAACGTGGTTGGAAGCAGCGCCACTTACAAAAGTGTATTGTTGGCTTTGAGGTTTCCACTTTCCACTTTCTTGTACTCCTTTGCCTTTTCCTTCCCACGCATAGACGGCAGACGTTCGGCACCATTAAGGAGCTGTTGAAGTGGACCGCCGTGCTTTTGTACACGAGTCTGAGAGAGTTCCTCTTCCATAGATGAGCGACTCTCACTTTTATCCACGGCAAAGGTGGGTTGCCGAATAAATACACTCCCCAAACCTATCTCATCAGCCATCGTGGAAGGCTTGCTATCCACCAATAGATCGTCTGAAAAACCATGCATTGCTGTAGAGCTAGGTGGCAGGATATCATACACAGCCTGCTGGAACTGCTGGCTCAGCTTGTCGACTGAAGTGCACATTCTGGGCGTGAGTGTGCGTCTCTTTGTGGGAATATGACCTTCCCAGAGTGGGCTTGAAGCTGCAGCCAACTACCATTTATGGATGAAAACGAGAAGAATAATCATGAAAATAAACACACACACACACACACACACACTCAAGAGCTCTTCACCTTCCAGCCCAAGCTGATTCACTATGTTACTGGAGACTTCTCCAAACTACGAATTTGCGGAATTACACAGAATGACATAGCTATCTTAAATGCCTAAGGATATATCACAGTTGAAAAGATGATGAGCTGCCATTGGCCGAAAAGTGTACATGCACAAGGGGAGGCAAGAGGTTTGGGAAAAGAGACAGTTACCAACCTGCAACATCAACGTAAGCGTTTAAGCTGGGGATGATGGTTGCATCGTCCAATCCTGAAACATTGGAACTTAAACTTGAAGTGGAGATGGAATCATCTCCAGCTGCTTTCAATGAGCGCGTCAGGGAGCGAAGCGGAGCCCTAGTCTCTTGGTGACTCTCAGATGGCTCTTTTCTCTTGCATGAACCGGAAAACATTTTCTTATTGTTCCTTCGCCCACGTTTTAATGCAGTACCTTCAGAACTCACAGCGCCTCCAAATCCACCCGAATGCATAGGCATGTAGTTTGAAAGAGTTCCCTTCGTACGCCATCTGGAGCCACAAGCATTGCATAGGACAGGCTTCTCCGGGGGTCCATTTCTCCACAAAGGGGTTGCTGAAAAGACAACCAAGGAATAAGTACGTACACTTGGGAAAACCTCCTCTATATTCGTAAGCATGAAGCGAAGTAGACATTACGTATCCAATACAGAGTGAGAGAAGAACATACTGGCAATGCCACAATGACCACATGGTCCTTGCTTTCCCATGGGCTTCGTTGAGGGTCAGCCTATATACAGAAGTCTGTGTTTTCAAACACCATGCAGACTCTCGTCATTCGCTGCTGCCAGTCTCAGGTTCCAATGTTGTGCCCAAACTGAACCAAGAAGAAATAGGGATCAGAAACACCAACATACATGTAAATGAATAACAGCATCTTACTATTAGTATAACAAAAGCTGTTATACTAAGCTTACCTCTTATTATCTGAATTGCAGAAGCTTCACTCAGTGGTCTATTGCTTAATTTTAACTTGAGAACAACGCTCAGCAAGAATTAAATTCCCGCTAAGTGTAGACCAAAAACCTCTCCAGCCACGTCCATCAAGTCCTGTCAGGATGAGGTCAGAAAATTACCGAGATGTCTACACCAAACAACCACATATACTGATGGATTGCAAGTCTTTATAGAAGTTCGTCCGCATTCGCTGCAGCTAAGAATTGATGTCTTCGTGAATCATCACCCCCTCAAATGGCATCTCCAGCTCGTCACATTCATGGCGAATTAGGTAAGGAGCAACGACCCCAACTGCCTGGCATCGGTATCCCTAGTTATAACAGGAAATTGTTGGCGTCTAGGAAAGACTGAAGAGATGAACAGAGCGGCTGCAATAGGCGAACTATGGAACAGTCCGTCTTGAGAGAAGTATGCACAGAATGCTTTAGAATGGTTTTCAACATAATGCATAACTCCAACTTAAATCAATGTTTAAAACATGGTAATTGTGACAACTCAAATACTGTTGAGCACAGACCTAGCCTATCCAGATTGTGATCAATCCCTTGCCAATCCCTAGTCAATCAGACCTACACCGGAGAAAGCTCTCCGGGCAGAAAAAAGGACGAATTAACAGACAGCATCAACGGTGATTCTGAACACGTGCAACGGTATCATTGATATGGAATAAGCCCTAACTTCTATTGTGTATTTTAAGCCCTAAAAGGTGTTCTTGGAGCGAACTGCAGAGCAATGAGCTGTGCAGTCACCTGGAAAGAAAATGCAACATCCCTCGAATAATTTTCGTCCACACTACATATGCATTCATTATTGAGGTCGATTTCAATCATCACCTACTTCCTCCGTAATCTTCAAGCAATTCATTGCTTAATATAATGAATCACAATATTTTGTAAGCTTAACAGACATACAGGCTCGATGAAATATTTCTGAGTCGTGTGTGCTCAATTGCAGTGCATTGAGAAAAATAAAAATATACTTATTTCACGATGTGCAAAACCATATAGACATGCTATAGTGAAGCTGGAGCTTAAGTCAATGCACGACTGGGATAAATGCCGACAGACAGGACCAGGTACACAAATGATGAATGGAGCAGAAGGATGCTTGAATGAAACAATTCATTTATCATACATAAGAACAACAAAACCAAAGCCAATAATCCAATGGACGAAATCATGTACCAACCTGCATTGTACGTGCAAGCAGGACATTATGAGAAACATGACAAGACTGATGTTCTTGTTGCAGAGGACCAAGTCAAGGAGCAGAGCATCGCTTTCCACAAACATTTGGACATTATACCATACACAACAAGAAAGAGGAACAAAAGGAACCACACACACAATAAAAAATTCAGGAATGGGAAGTGATGACCACAATATGAAGTTAAGAACTTACAGGAATAATTAGGCTCAAGAGTAGGCTAAAAACCTCCAGCCCTTCACCAAAAATCCTCAAATGCAGCTCCTGCAGGAACTCGTCCCTTAATTTGGAACCAACGCGAGCAAGGGGCACCCTGGAAAGAAGAATTATACCAGCTTCCGAAAACACAGCTCCGACACTTCCACAAAAGCTGTAGAAAAGCAATTACCCAAAAGCTATGGCGACCAAAAAATTCCTGGAGATCCTCCAACACCAAGCTTTCTCCCGTCCGCGGGTAAGAGAGCGAGAATTGCAAGAGTTTTTGGCTAACGTGTGAGGTGTCAGGGGTTCCAGGGAAGGCAAGCAAGGCACTTCCGTGTGCATAAGTGGCGTAAAAAAGAGCCACTAAAAACAAAACAAAACAGAACCAAAAAAAAACAAAAAAAAAAAAAAAAGTCCAAAAACTGGTCCTAAATTCAGGAAACTTGGGTCGCAAGGAAACAAATAACCACAAGTCTATGACGAAACGGAATGAGGAGAGAGCGAGAGAGAGAACGAGGCAAGCGAGTGTCCTGCTACGAAGTCTTCGACACTGAGGATGCTCACGGTGACTATGGAGACCCAGCAGCAGAGTCTGCCCTTCTCTTCGTCTTCCTCTTCGTCTTCCTCTTCGTCTACTTCCCCCTCCTCTTCTTCTTCTTCCTCTACTTCCTCTCTCTCCCTCGGAGGAATTTGCGAGAGAGCCCCTTTCTTTAGCTTCTAAACTACTGCTACTACACAACAATTCCTGATTTTCCCCGTGCAGCAGCAGAACATTACTGTGAATAATAACTAAAGCAGCTCCATCGATGAATATTCGGTACTCCTCCTGTTACCACTACTCCTACTACTAGTGCTACTACTACGACTACTACTACCACTAGTGCTGCTACGACTACTACTACTAGTTGTGCAAGTGCTACACTAGTGCTACTACTAGGGTGGTCACACCCCCCTTTCCTTCCTTCCTTTCAGTGCCTTCCTTCCTTTCAGTGCCTTCCTTCCTTTCAGTGCCTTCCTTCCATGGCATGGCCTCTCTCTCCCTTTTTTTCCTGTATGCATTCCTAGACTTCCTTGCCTTTCCTTTGCCCTTCCTTTCCTTCCCTCCCAGACGCCGATTTAACTACAAAACCCAGCTGATTTCTGTAGAAGTAGCTCCCCTGGTGACCTTAAAATCCATGGCTTGATAATGCTGGCAGTAAACAAACATATATATATATATATATATATATATACATACATACATATAGTATGTAATAATGTAACACAATTACTCACTCACTCACTTTCCATTCCATGACACCAAGACCCCCCCCCCTCCTCCTCCCCTGTCTATGTGCCAAGATCCAGCTTAAGCATTAAAAAAAAGGAAAAAAAAAAAAAAAAAAAAAAAAAAAAGGAGGAGGAGGAGGAAAAGGAAAAGCCCCACCCCCTCTCAGTCTGCATGGATATGAATGGTTCATGGATGGATGGATTTCTGTTGGGTATAGTGTACAGGGTTCTCCACTTGTTCTGAACAAGTCAAGCCTATCATGTTTATTTACATAGTTTGAAAACAAAGCAAGCAATGGGGCTCACTCACTCATGCATGCCCTGCTGATTGGACCAGTGTATGGGAACCACTCCAGAGATATGCTTACACTTGGGGAAGCTGGAACAAATGATCCATCTCCCTAGGAAGGAAGGGCCAATTTACCATGCACCCATTAGTGTGTAAAACGGGGACTTGGAGGTGGGATTCAAAACCCTAATGCTGTGGATGGACGCCTAATAAATTGGGTTATGCTTAGGGTAGGGTTCTGCTGTGGTAGGGTTGCAATTGTAAATGACTGACTAGATGAGCTGAGCTGAGGTGGTGGTGGGTGGTTGGTAAGGAGGCTAGAGGAGGCATGGCACAATGGAGAGGTTGGTCAGTTTCATAAATAACTGTCCCATCTGCTCAAATTGGAGGCTTTCTGTAGTTATTGTGGTCTGCAAGGGGGAACAATTATCCAACATATACCCTAACAGTTCACCAGGAGTTCACCCAATAGAAGATATATATACATATATACATACATATGCTCTGCATCTACTTTTTCTCTTTTATTATGTTCATGTGAGGGATCGTGTATGTGAATAGTCACAACTGTCACTGTAACCTATTCAACCTAATACTTCTCATTGAAATGTCTAAATTTGGAAAATGTTAGGGATAATCAGTCAGATTCCAGGTATGCTCTGTAGACTTTAGTTGCTTGTTCAATGGTAGTCAGCTGTAGAAAATGTTATGAAACCCAGGAGGAATCTGAGTTTGTGGTGGCAGTATGATTTACCTCATTACTCACTACAGTGTCAATATATATATATATATATATTTATAAAATTTTCTTTAATTTTGTGTATGTGTGTGTGGATCCCAAATTCTGGAGCAAGTTATAAGGATGCCATTACATCAACTTGATCTACATTCAACAGTCCTTTTTCCACCCAGCTCTGCAAAGGCTCTGATGCATGTCTCTGCATGTGGATGTAAAAGTGTGTCACTGGAAAAGAGTGGAGTAATAGAATTGCTGTAATGTGTGTAAGGGAAACATCAAATCTATGTAAACAGTGCAACACAACTGACTCACCAGCAATGCATCAATAAGTACTCACAGTACAATTTCTAATTTGGAATGTGAGCCAAGTTATTACTTACAAGGGTTAATAATCTTTAGGGTATGACGCTCAAACAAAAGCCATCTTTATAGAAAAGAAAGAGCTTCCTGTGAGGGGGGGGGACTGGACATGCAGACTAGCTAGGTTGGGCTTTCTAGGGTTTGAGGCATCACACTTGTTCTACAACTACTACTTGAGAGGGGCCCAGAAGGCATCTCATTGTCCAACATGTAAGAAAACTGGTGAGATGAAATGGACATGCATCGCCCTCTTGTTTACACTACTGATGATCCAGATATTTTCCTCCCCTCTTCCTGTTTGCCATGTCACCAACACCAATAAAATAAAACGAGTGCACCTTTGGATCCATTACAAAACTCCACTCGTCACACATAATGTGGATGATTGGATTCCCTAGCAATTATACATCTATTGTAAAATAATATTAACAACAACAACAACAACAACAACAACCCAAAATGAAACAATTCCATCTGGTTGTTGCTTTGATCCAACAAAAACCACAACTACGGCAACTATTTGTTTTTGTTATTATTATTTAATACATGTACACACACAAACCAAAGGTGAAGCATTTGTAGGATCAAAGCAATGACCAGTTGGAATTGTTTCACACTTTAGCCACACAACTAAATCAAAGAGAAGAGAAAAGAAAATCAATGGGACCCAAAAAGTAGAGGAAGATGAAATTGTTGTACAGTGCCTGGAAGATATGAAGGAAAACAAAGTGCCGCTCTTGGAAATGAAATTGCTGTGAATCAACTAAATATGCATATTCATATAAGATTTGCTTTCAAGGTGTGATGTAGTAGCATGGGTTGGGACCCAGGGAACTTGTGAAACAAATATCTCTCTGCAAATGAGGAATCCTGCACTGGCAGGGTTTAGGGCATCTTTATGGATTGTGGGTCACACGTGGACTACCAGATTTTTTGCTCTCTTTAAAAACCATAACTGAGGAAAGGATGGGTTTTATTGCCACCTGGGACCCTTGACCCCATTGAATTGGTAGTTCCTGAGTAGAATGTGCTGCTGGCTAACAAGAATATTGTGAGTAGAACCTTGAGGCATTGCTTGTTTATCTGTTAGGGGGAAAGAAGAACACACAGCAGAAAACAGTTCCATGTGTGTATAGGGCTTCTAAACTGAAGTGGGTCCTGTGCACAAGCAATTTTAATGAGTTTTTTTTTTTTTTTTTTTTTTTTTTTTTTTGTTTGCTATTGATAATTATAGTGGACACCCTTCAATTTCGCACTCTGCATGGGTGAGTTGCTGGTTTCTATTCCGAAATAAATATGTTCATGATTGTTTGATAATTTTGTTTGAACACCACCCCCAGCACTGAATCCGCTGCTTTGACTTCATTAAAATAATCATTTACGGCACATAGCTGCATTGTTCTTAAATTATCCAGTTGCCTAACTATTTTTAAAGGGAACTCAACATCAAGTCCTCTGTACTATTCAAAATCTTCAACAATTTTAAGCATCTTATATGCTTGAATTCGAATCTTTTCTTTTTTAAAAAAACATATCTTTATATATATATATATATATATATATATATACATTTTACCTTCTTTCTAACTATACCAAAGCATTTAGTTATTTTTTAGTTTTTTCTGTTTAATTCAATGGGTCATGAGCCCACTTGAAATGGATACTTTCATTATTGCTTTTGCCAATGAAGATGCGGTATAATTTCTTCAAACACAAGGCTTGACACAACCAATCAAAAGGTTCATCATCTAAGAGTTGAATTTGATTTGAGAAAGTGTGCATTTTTATTAATTCATTTAATGTTCTATTCAAACCTCTAAACAGTAATGTTAGTTTATGTATCTCCTCTTTTTGATAGAACTTGATTGTTGCATTTGGGAATTCGTGCCACCTGAAAATAGTATGCACAAGAATCAAAATTATTAAGACAAGTTGGGTTGACATTATATACATTGAAGTGTTCAATTCAGCTTTATTTTTATCTATAAAATTATCTATTTTTATCTCTATTTTTATCGATATGTATATAGAAAATTCAAATTCTATACATAAATGCTAAATAATTCCAATAATTTGATGGATACACTCAAGAAAAAATGTTGCATTCAGGACTTGGACGTTACATGAGTTGTCTCAAAATTTGAGTTTGGTATGTTTATAATATTAGTCAATGAATGCATCTCAAAGTAGAAATCAATTAATTAACCTGACGGATTGAAATCTATGTTCAATCTTGGTTCTAAAATATAATAAAATGATTTTAGTGGTTGTTATTTTAACTCGCAATAAATGATATAATTAAAATTTACACAAAATCATATAATAAATTAT